ATATTTTGTAACCTCCATTTATAAAGGCTACTGACTGTCCTCAATTTAAAAAAAAAACTTAATCATTTATTAAATTTTTAATGAAAGTGTGAATAAATTAATATTTTAGATCGAATAAAATAAAATGAATTGTTATTTTACGGCCAAACAGAAAAGCCTTACCATCCATACCGTTCCGAAATATTTAACCATGTTTTATTATGTTGTGTGTCGTGCGTGCGTGTGTGTGCGCTCGGCCGGAACGTATCCCGACTGACTGTGTCCCTGTAGTGTGAACTGACCCCTGTTCTTGTTATACAGCTTTGCTTTTAGATGCTGAAAAATGTATTTTTATAACATTTTCGTAAAAGTAGCGTGAACGCCAGGCACATTCGATGTTAACGATATTCAATTCGGTGTTTTCCAACTAGTCAAATTCATTACTTTTATTTCCCGAGATCCCTACATAATAATATCACGTCTTACTACTACTACAACTACTACTACTAATACTACTAAACATAATTATTTTTAAAAAGTTAAGAAAAAAATCTATAATTTAGTATCGTCAAATCAATCAATGAATGTCTGATTATACTTTAATAATTTATTGTATTATAAAGTCAAAGATATTGTGTTTTTACCTAGAAAACTACCCAATTGCATGGAGTCTACAAAGCTGCCAGGTATTTGAAAGTATACTTGCCCCATACAACAATGGCGTATCATAACAACGGGCAGAAACTCCATACTACACATCTGCCAAACCATTCTCGAAGTAATAGCCGTGACGTTAGTTATATTTTACATACCATTAAAATTTCTACGCATTTAAATAAAATAATATACATTTAAACAATAAAATAAACAATGATCGATTTTATTTATTTTATTGTAAAACTTTTGATTATTATTTTTATACACTGGTATAGACTTTTTATAGTATACGGCTTATAACAACTTGGTTTTAAAAGTTTTTAAGAATAATCCATTCTTTCATACCAATCTTAATCTTTTATCCAATTCAGTGTGGGAGAGCCAAGCTTCGGCATGAATGGGTCGGCTTAACAGGAGTTATAACAGCCACGACCTCACAGAAAACTGGCGTGAAACAACTTCACCGTTGTTGTCCAAGACCTAAACTTTTCCCTTTCCCCTATCCCTCTCCAATCCCTAAATCTTTGATTTTCTAATGTCTATGTGTAGCGCTGATTGCTTACCATCACGAAACAAGGCTGTACTAAGGTATCCTGTAATTTCTCGATATTTTCGTTAAAAGTTTCTATCATTGTACATTAGGTACCGTACGATTTCTACCAAAAAGTTAATGAAACATGAAAAAATGTGGGAAATATATTGAGCCTTGTCTTATAGCACATTTTTTTTTTGTTGAAGTATCTTGAAGTATACCTTTGTTAAAATGTTTATGCTATTAAGTGACAACTAATAATACATCATAAGTGCATGCATATACGAATTATTTTTAAGTACTTTAAGTTTGTAGGAATACTTGGTGTCAAAAGGTTATTATTTTTTATTAGGTAAAACTTGTTTACCACCCACTTGGAAACCATGACATCATAGAGTAGAGTAGAGTTCAAAACTTCTTCGTTACTGCCATCATATTTTTATTTGAAGCTTTGTTATAAACACTTGATAACACGAATTACAATTTATGACAAGTGTATCGTTAACACTTTAATTGAAAATTATGAACACAATTCGAGTACATGTATTTCTCATGAACTCCATTATAATTCCGTCAAGAAGTTCTTTCAACGTCTTCATAGGCTGTTCCACGATTTGTTTATTTATATTGTATGGTCGCCTTTCATCTAGCATACGTGAGCAAATAATGAATGTACGACATATCAGGCGGTGATGACGTCACTCCGGACACGGTCACATCAAAGCACACTACATCGATGATTTATGCGTATTTTGTTAGACTTCGGCCCAATTACGTTCATGAAAATTTGTGCACTTTCATAATAAAGTGTTTACCGTTGAAATGCTTTGAAGTCTAATTGGGCGGATGGCGCGATGAGCTATACTGATACCGTACGTACGAATGTACTGGTAATCGTTGATTGATTTATTGTTACACTTTAAGTAGATTTACTACTGGTCAAGGGTAGTCATCCTAATTAGATATCGTGCACTCGAATACCAGCAGTATTCCTTGTTAATATGTGTAGCATACAATCCAGACATTTACACAGGCAGGAATCATTACTGCTGTGTTACTTCTTATGAACATCGAAGCACAAAATTTACCAACTTATTAAAATAGTACTAGGATCTTTTTGTAATTATATTTTCCTACTTATAGTAGATATAAGAACTGTTTGTGTTATTTCGTGAACACATCGTACCTACTTAATTTTTGTAAGCAAAAAGTTTTTTAGTATAAAAGCGCATTCTGATCTATCTTATTTTGCTGAATTTAAAACGAGCAGACGGTGTATTAGATTTTGGATTTTAAGTTTATAAAACTAGATAACAAAACTGGTCAAAATTGAACATTAATTTCGATGTTGCATTTAATGATGTACGAACTTATAACTGTTAGGTCTGCATACCTTAGTTTATATGTAGTTAACTAAGTTCTTTGTAATTAATGTGTCTGCTATTTTTAAGTGCCTAAATTATAGTCCAGTAATAATATGGTTAGTAGCAATAATTTTATTTTTCGTACATTTTGTAACAGTCCTGTGGAAACTGAGGAATGTACTGACCTGACTGAATTTCCACACTACGTAATATATAACGTGTTGGGTTCGGATATGATCAAAGTTACCACGGCCTCTAAAAAACCGGCGTAAAACAACCACAGCGTTGTGTTTCGCCGTGTGAGTGAGGATACCGGAGGCCCAATCCTTCCCTTTCCCTAAATCTCCAAATCTCTAATCCTCAAACGGTCGGCATCGTACTCGTAACTCCTCCGACGCTGATTGCTTACCATCGGGTAATCCCTGTGCTAGTTTGGCAACACATAACATAAAAAAGTTACTTTTGGTAGTTGTTAATAATATGTTTTTAAAGTACTTACTCCTAGTAAGTACTTTGATTTCAGTATTCTACATGCCGAGGCCACGGTACCTTTTTGCGCTTACCCTATCTGCCTTATAAGGCCTCGTCTAGGATATTCTATATGTTGGCCTCTGTTTGTTCATCAGGAACTGTTCCATTCAAGTTTTTGTAGAATTTACGTACGGTATGTGTTAAAGTCTACGCTACTTCACTTTATACTTAAAAGTACTCTTCTATTGTGTCTCGAATTACAACGATCGGTTTAAAGGTTAATTAACACATAGTGTTTAATTTCAAGATGAAGAAAGTCTAATGCTTTGAATGTTTTTGTAATTTGAATTTGGAACCCCAATCTTTTGAAATCTGGTTTCTTCTATCTTGATGTGATAAGTTAGTCTTTAAGCTGGCTACGATTAATATTAAAATCTTACTTAGTAACCAGGATAGTCAAAAATTTTATTATCAATGGTGTATTATCGAAAATTACTCGAAAAACTGGTTCTATGTTTTATTATTTTCTAATAATAAATAATTAGAGATTTAAAATTGTTAACCTCTCTTTTTTAAGCCGCTTAAAATATCAGTAGGTCAACTCGTAGAACAATCGTATGATAAAATTCGTTGTTTTTTACGGGGACCGGTTCATATGGCTTTCGGCAGTATTGTAAAAAGTAAGTCGCCAGTCTTTGAGTATTTGAGTTTCTATACATTTTGGTAGACTTCACTTATATTGACGTTACTATCATATATTAAAACTCATTTTTTTAATCGTTTATAATTGAAAAAGAAATGCTCTTACTATTAAGCAATTATGCTTTTAGGATTCGTATAAAACTCATTGACAATAAATATTTATATAGATATCTTTTTGGAATAATAGAAAAAACTGATTTCGGTTGTTATTAACGTTGAGTCTTTACTTTTTGCTAAGACCCAACTATCTTAAGACATGTACTGATCTGTAGACCTCTTCCACGTTTCAAGAAAGATAAACCTATAATTTAATTAAAATTGGTTTTAGTTATATTTTAGTTATAGGGATGTAGGTTGTTGATTAAGGAATTAAGGGGATCAAGGTATAAAATGATTGAAACAACCATCAAATATTTCTGTATTAAATTTTATTGCATCTATTCACACACCTTTCTGGGAAAACGGTTTAAAGACGTTTCGAAGCTAACAAAATTGGACAACATTTAATAATTTTTATCAACATTTACTTTGTTTTAACTAAATCCATTTATGTTACAACAAATTCTGATTCTACTGTTCGCTGAATGGCACTGACTCTAAGATATTATTATACAGTAAAATGTGAATTCGGAAATGTATTTTGTTTAATGAAAATATACATTGGCGTTTAGATATTCGTATATCGTTTACAATCGAATATACATTTTCGTTGTTTACATAGCTACTTTGAAGAATCACGTCTTCCATCCGTGTTTTTATTTACATCAAAAGGAATTCTAATACAGAAAAATTATTGCATTTACCTCTCTTAAATACTCACGTTATTATTACAATATATACTTACAACAGTGACGTATGTACAAAACTATAGACTCAATTTTGGACTTTCAGTCTCTACAATATTGAAAAAAAAATATTATAGTTACAATGTATAGAAACAAATAGACGTTGTGTGAATTTACATTATTTTAACGTTTACTATTATACAAGGCCATTTTTATTTAGTTATGACATTTTTTTACGAAGACGAATGTTGTGTGAATGCTACAGATGATATAAGTTTCCGTTTCGAGTAGGGCTGGCGTACGAAACTGTGAATATAGGAGCTGGCAATGTGCGAGCTTTTTTAAAGAGATCACGAAACACTGCGACCTCTTTATTCCACAACAATATTAAATAGAAACTTAAGTATTAAAATAAATTACAATTTTTTATTCAGATCTCTGAGTTGACAAAGCTGCGGACAGATTGCAACAGTATGAAAATAAAACTAAATTAATGTTAATCAATAGTTAGTAAAAAAAATGATTCGTAGCTAGTTTTGTAAGTGCGAGATGTGAAATACATTCTTGATGTAATACACCAGTGTCAAAACTGTTAGAGTTGTAAGAAAACACGGTTCCGTTAGTACTATGACTCTGTAACAAGAAAACTAACAAAAAATCATCTTAATACAATCAAAATTTAAAGTATAATTCTCGTTAACCTATTCTAAAAACTAAACTTTTAACTAAGGCTCTTTGTTACATTAAATACATCACGGAAATTAATATAAATGCATAAATTTAAGTAACGATCAAATTAATTAAGATAATTTAAGTAATATAATAATATAAAAAAGGTTGGCACAACATGATATGGAAATTAGGCACCTAGTTATGCGTATGTAACACAAACACGGTTTGTTCAACTTTTATAACGTTCTGCCGTACGCAAACAAAAGTTAACAGCAATGCTAGATATTTTAATTGTGACAGTAAATTTCCTACAAATACTATAGCAGCGAGCAACTTTTATTTGGACTCTAATTATTTTAATTTCGCAGGAAGCCCGACTCTCTTCCGCATTTCACGTTTCGTTGGTCCCACATGGTTCGAAGTTTCTAACTTTAGGTGCCTATTACCTATGAATTATAACACAGATAATAGGCTCTTTTGAACCGGGGCTACTGTACAACACGGCCCACGGCGCAAGAAAACCTAGTAAATGCCGATGTGACAAACCTGTGCGATCTCACAAGGGTAAGTGGACATTGATGACTGATACTTGCCCATGCCAGCCCTACCAAAGAGGAATTCATTAGTAACTAAAGGTGATTACTAGACATAGGTATGTAATTTCATTTATGTTTAACACAGACAATCATAGTCTCTTGACTAGAAAAAGCTATACAGACTTTCTGAAATCCTCACCAAATCTGATATAAATTATTGATATAAGTATTGTAGATAAAAAAATCTTATATTAACGACTCGTTATACTACTGACCTCGTATCAATAAATATTAAAATTCGAATGTTAGATATTTTAAGAAACTATCAAACAATAGAAAACACTGGACGTAATTAGGCACTAAATATAAGTAGAATATTTGAAATAATAATTTACACTACATACAAATAATAATCTAAAACAGTGTTGTTTATCTATGTATAAGAAACTTAACACATATTAATACCTATTTTTGAATGAAATCACTTCGTTTAACCACCTCCAATAATAACTACAGCAACATGTCGCAAGGTCCAACTTGTATAGCACCTAGTATTGTCGGTCGGTCGGCGCGGGCGCTGCGTCGACGTCGTTTGCGAGTTGTCAACCTCACGGCGCGGGCGGCGGCAGGTGGCGCACCGCTCGCATGTGTCCACTATCACAAATCTAAGCTTCTCTACCGGTGCATAATCATTATTATCACGTATTTATACGTATGTATACATATTTATATTAGTCTATCGCTATTTACAGGCTGAGTGCCCTCTCGCGGCACTTTCAGGGGAGATCGAAATTATTGTCGATGCGCCAACGGCGGGCGTGGGGCTTGTGGTCAGGCCCGAGGTGGGGGAGGTGGCTCTGCCAGCGACGACGTGGACGATGAGGACGGCGAGGGAGCTGGAGGTGCGGGGGCGGGCGCAGCAAGCGCTAGCGAACGAGAGTACTCGAGGAGGGCCACGTCCGCCGGGTGAGTCGGAGGATACAAGCCTCGATACAACTCGGGTCGGCTGTAAGGATGAGCGAGGCGAGCTGCTGCAGCGGCGGCTGCAGACTGATAAAATGCGGATGCTGGTGATGGTGGTGCCGGCGCTTCGCCCTCTTTGCTTGCCATGTCCGCTAGGGACCATATTCTAGGCTTAGCTGACGCTGGAGTACTGCCGGGTGGCGCACGGGAAGGTAAATGCTGATAGGCTGGGTGAATGGGTCTTTCATAAGGTTCAGGTGATTCGGGACCACTATCAGCGCGTGATTCGGACCATTCTGATTCTGTTCTTTGCCCAAGCATATCTAATCTTTGCTGAGGTCTATCGCCGTCTTCACTGGAGCCGGTTCCTGAGTCTTTTCCATCTAAAAGAGAAATCAAGTTTAGTAATGTGATACTACTGACTGTTGAGTAAACTGATGATATTCTTGTTTACATTTGTATGAATAAATTGCACATGATCGTAAGTTTTATTTTCAAGTACATACCTAGTCCATCTTTTCCATCGTTGCTTTTATGGTCATCATCGTCATTATTATTGTCATCATCATCAACCCTGTTTCTCGGCTCCCACGTCATCTTGTTTTCCTTCTTGAGCCGGCGACGTGCATTCGCGAACCACGTCGACACCTGCGTCAGCGTCATCTTGGTGATGATCGCCAACATTATCTTCTCCCCCTTCGTAGGGTACGGGTTCTTCTTGTGCTCGTTCAGCCACGCTTTCAAGGTGCTCGTTGTCTCTCTAGTTGCGTTTTTTCTTCTTGCGCCATTTAGGTCCATTCCATACCTAGGGTCAAACAATAAGTAATCGTTATTAGACTGTTGCCTGTTAGTTTTACTTCAAATACGTAAAACGTTGGTAGATGTTACATTCAGAATTTACTACGAAGACGATTGTGCTAAATTTTTAGAACATAATCAAGCGTATAATGGCAAAGTCCGATTTGGGCGAGATTTCAGATAACGTGAATCGAGACCGCCCCAATCCCTATCGCGCGCCCTCCCGGCCGCTCCGTGATCGCCACACCGAACCAATGAAAGCGCCAGCATAATAATTGAAATCGAGATAAGCCATCGACTGCTGTGCCAGCGTTAAGCTGCAGCTTATCTCAGACACAGCTACGTACGCATTTGTTGGTGGACCATGCGCCATTATTTGAATGGTACTATCTGTATTACGATAGATTCTATTTAAGTCAATTTATCAACGTTAATCTCGAAAACGTGTCGTTTGTTTACTTAAACATTTAGGAATAAGAAGTTGTAACGTTTTGTTTTTGCTTTGTATTTTTCCTCTCTTTATTTTATTTATACGTATTTTTGTTATTGTTTTAATATTTAATTTTTATTTTAATTTTTCGATTATGAATAAATAGAGATTTTGTTTTTTTCTGACACGCGTAATATTTTGATGTAAACAATGCTGGTACCATATGCTGCGTTTGCTAAGTTATCAAAGACTGACTAGGGTGGAAAATAGGGATGAGTAGTGGGAAATTAATAAAACTGTCACTTAAATCGCAGAAGTGACGGGCGATGCCCCTTCTTGTTCAATGTACGCAATCGATTTTGAACCTTAAGTGCAACAGTTACGGTCACGATTCACATAAAGCCCCCGCCAAATGAAGTAGCTCACTCCATTGTTAAGTTCGTTGTTGACTTAATTCTCCTCGATCCCCATTGAGTGAGATCCTCGTAAATAAATATGATAGAAAATCCCTTTTATTTCGTTTCTATTTTTATGAATGGTTGTGAACACTGGTTCTTCGGAATGATAAAATAATGGCTTATTTGAGTGCTAGTATAATTTGACTACAAAACAGCATAGCTAGTAGCAAAACCAATTTAATGACGCCCTCGAAGCGACTTTGAATGAACTAACATCCATAGAATTCAAGTGACAATACAAAAGTGGAGCGACGCCAAGCTTAGGCGTATTCTACAAACAAAAAAGCTTCATTTATCCACGGCGTGCCACTTTCACAGCATCCGAGCTCGCGGGGGATCGGTCTGCAAGCTTCATTTTTTTATTATTTTGCTATCCCCGCGGCGTGCTTGCGCCCCGGCGGGCGGTTGCGGGTATCCACCCTTCTCACACCAGCGCCTCGCCTTCAATTAAATCCCTATCTCTCGCGCCACCTCATGCTTCCTACTTAAACTCATAAAAATGAGATAAACACAAAAATATTGCTCGTACAGTCTGTCGTTATTATAAAAGTAATCCGATGGTGCTGCGGTTCATTCAGTTATTTAAATTTTATGTACCAATTCATAGTTTATTGCGTTAATGAACTGCGTTTAAATTTCTCTCGTGTTTGGTGCCAATAAATTGCTGTAATTTGACTAAATCAGTGGGGTTTCCGTTTGATAACCGTCGTGTGTACATGTGGATGGCTACTGATTTTAGGAAGGTGGCTTGTAGCGATTGGCTAGATTATCCTAGTCCGAGATGATTAGTAACGGTAGGCCCACGTTCAATAGTGATATAGCGTCATCTATTTTCACGATAAATCCTCCCGATGCGCATTACCGATACATAATGGAGCCCCAGGTCGTTGTTAAAACAAGCGGCCCGAGGCACGTTGGGGTGAATTTGAAGCGTTGACAAAAGGAAAACCGTTCTGAAACCTTTGTGATACTTATTCGCCGCGTCGAAGAGGGTTGATATGAAAATATGATCTGTATACCCTTAACACTACAGCTTTCGTCGCTGTGATTGAAGATCATTAAATTGTTTTGTACTAAAATACAAAAAGAAGTTGCGTGATAAATCTGATCAGTATGTAATATTTAAAACAATACATTCTAATACATATGTTGCAGACAACATACGGACGAGTATAAATACACAAAATGGTGAACTTAAACATTCTTTATCATTTTGAATCTCAGAATAAGAAATAAAAACTAACGTTAAACTATAAAATTATTTGCATTAGAAACAGCCTGAGGGGTTTTGTAACGAATGGACTCACGAGTACCGACAGTTTAAGATATTTCTATTAAAACTGTTTGAACAAGCGTGTCATCCATCAAATGTGTCAACTTTAGTGTTGTATTACCGACACCTAAGACACTTAAAAATAATAGAAAATTTTTAAAAAAATAAATAGAAAATGAAGAATTAAAGGAGGGCCGGCGGCGCCTAGATTCTGGTATAAAAGTGCGAAGCTAGCCGGTCGCGCAACTAACGTCTCGAATGCCTAGCAGATCTAAAATTTCATTGCACGTGTTTCTGTCGTGTTTAATTAGACAGTTTACGTAAAGGTGTTGTATTAGTGAAAAAAACGGTGACTAGAGAGTTTAGTGATTACGATATAATTATGCAAGCAAGGATTACTGGTAGTTCGTTTTTTATTTTCTCTTATGGAACCATTTTCTCTTTGTGTTTTTAAACGTGAAATGTAGTGTTTGAGAATTTAGTATTTATATAAGTTTGTTAACATGACTGTATAATTGCTAATGCTAATGGGTGCTGGGATAATGGAAGCGGGGCCGCGTCCTGATTGGTCAGTGATGTGGTTCACCTAAACTGATGAAATCAATTTACATTATGGGCTAAATTGCGCTTGTTATTAGCGAGTGCAAACACTGATAGTTATGAGGATAAATTTCGTTATTAAATGATACAATTTAAATGTAAATTGATCAATTGGGCTACTGTATAGAAGATTTTGAAATTATTTTACATATTATATACGGCAGTATTAAGTGCTCAGTGGGTATTTCTGCTACAACTTTTGTTCCAATTGGATTTATTGTATATGATACTAGTGTAGGTTTTATATTATAATAATGAACGCCTTTCTGCATAGTTTTCCTTTTTGAGTGCAAAGTTTCTAACGGTTTCACAATTAATAAACCCGATTTTTAAAGTACGTATCTCCTTAAGCTTGTTATGTAGAGGTTGGCGTGATACAAATATTTAAATGAAGTCAAAAAGCCAATTTGAAATATAAAATTAGGTATACATATGAGCAATTAACTTAATTGCCGCATGCCAGTAACATAAACAGTTGAAATAAAATTATGAATACGAAGGTAAGTTACGTATTATAGTACATTAAATTACCTACTTAGGTACTTAATTACTCACATATTTAAGTGCCCACCTACTGAAAAATGTGAATCAAAAATAAAACCTACATTTTTTATTAAAAAGTTTACGATCTTGTTTACTTATATCACAACTACTTGTAAGTACTTGTGTAAAGTAATTGATAAAACAAACGATTAAACCGAATACGACTTTAAAATACTTGTTAATATAACAAAGTTGAAAGAAACTCAAGACTCACACTTAATAAGTGCATGACAAAGTAACCGTATACCCACAGAATTTTTGTGTGAGCGATCATACCGCCCCAACTAACACGACGTAGCTTAAAGGCAACTTGAAGAGATATAGTGTTTCTCTTACAGTTTGAATTTACCAATGACATCGGCCGCACCCATATAAAATTACACGGTGCCATATTTTATAAGTTAATAGACGTTCGTAGGTACACCTTTTTCTTACGCTTCACAGATTTCGTCAACATTGTAATCCACCATCTATGAAATTTAAAAGACACACTCAACACACGGTGACAGTTTTTTTTTGTGTAAAAACGCACCTGATATTGTATGCCATACACCTATATCGTATTACTTCGAACTGGTCCAATTTTAACAGTTAACGTGTCTACTAAAACCGACATTAGATTTCAGATTCTGAATTTAGACATAGGCTAACAAAATAACCGCTCCTGGTAGAGACCAAAGAATAATAAAAGTACGATCGTTTTCAACACAAAGTTTTCCTTTCATGTTTCTAGTAAATTATTAAGTTCGTAAAAATGATATCTGATAAAGCTAATTATTCGTCGTCGTAATATAGAAATGGGCGCACGCAACGACCAATCTCGGGTTATGGACGAAGTTTTAAAAGGTACGATACAGGTCCTAAATATTGGTGGGTAGATAGGGTGGCCGGGGGCGCGGCACGCCAAAAACACATTACGAGCCGGCAACGCGCTATTACGGCGAACCGCACGCGTCCATGTTAGCCGATAGCTGCCACCCGAACATGCTATCCGACGACTAATTGGTCAGCTTCATGCACAAAAACCCCTAATAGAAACAACTGCGGCCAGGGGGAGCCGCTTTACAGCCTAAACCGTATATGATCGCATTAATCGCAAGGTATAACTGTAACAATCCGGTGTATGTGGCTACCTACCAAATATTTTCGGCGGCGGTGGTTGTAATGAGGGCCAATCGTTAAGTTAGGTGGTTAAAGGGCGTGTTATCTAGAGGCTTGGGCGGCGCATGTCACGTGACAAACGAAGCGTAAACTCACCACCGCACCGGTACTTCGGCCGCGCCATCTTTGTTTTTATAACGGGGGGTTATATTTTAAATTGCTTTTATTTTAAAGTTTCAGATTACCTGCCTTCCCATTTCCGGTGATATTACATCGACCTTATTTATTATGTACTATTTTTTGGTACACATAAGGAGATCGCCTTGAATGTGTTTACACGTAAATGTTTATCATTACAAACATTAGCAATAAGATGTCTTTGTTGAATGGTATAAATCATGTTTTGAGATAGAATTCGCAGTGTGGTCGTTTATTACTCATGCTCAGTGACTGAGAACATTTATGGAGCAACATTTCAGATTAATGAATATCATTATTGTTTTAAATCTTTCCATAATATCAATCTTTTCTTGTGTCGAGACGAAACTTTACAAAAACAAGGCATAAATTGTGTCGTTTATCTGTGGCAAATTATATTTCTG